CATATAAATGTTCTCTGTGAAATCCCTATATTCCCAATTCCACATGGAGGGACAAACATCAACCATTCAACCTGACGATGTTGGTTGCTACTCAGGCATACCCCTCCCACTTTTTTGAGTGACAGTGACAAGGACACTGACAAGGACAGTAGCAGAGTCTACAGGAGCTTCCCAGGTGCCTGCAGATGGACACGTAACCAGCTGGGGGCAAGATGGCTCTGGTGGAGTTGGCTGTGGGAGTTTCAGTCAGGAAACCCCTGATGACACCAAGTCATTCTAGAAGGCACTGGTCCCTGACACAGTGCTCAGGTCTCAGCCACTGTGTCCGAAGAGGAACAAGAGAGTACCCGTTACTCACAAACCTGTATTATAACCAAGCATCTTCTTCCTCTAAAATGCTTTCCACACAGAAAACTCAGAGCATCTTTGCCCCTTCAATTTCTCTGTCCACATACCTTGCTCAGGTTACTTGCCATAACTCAGAAAGGGACAAGACCAGATAAATATAGGGTCAAATTAAAGGACTGTCTTCTCCCTGTTAGGTAGTAAGATGGGTAATAAAGACCTGACCCAGACCAACCACAGCTCTAGGGCCTCTGGGACTGTGACCACCATGGACTGGATCCCTCTCCTCCTCATGAACTGCTCTCACTGCACCATTAGTAACACGCTTTGGAGCAACAGGGAAGCCCTATATGCTGTGTGGGCTGCCCTAATCTAATCCCCTATCAGATGCCAGTTTCCCCAGATCCATTAGGAATATGTGACTTTGTTGTAGGTTACCTGGCCCAGCCTGTGATGACCCAGTTGTCCTCCTTCTCTGTGTCTCCAGTGACAATGGCCAGACTCAACTGCACCCTGAGCAGTGGCTTCAGTTTTAGTGACCACAACATATACTGGTTCCAGCGGAAGCCAGGGAGCCCTCCCCAGTTTCTCCTGTTTCTACTCAGACTTAAATAAGGACTAGGTCTCTGGGTCCCCCAGCCAATGCTCTGGCTCCAAATATGCCTTGGCTTCTGGGCTGTAGCCTGAGGACAAGGCTGATGATTACAGTGCTACAGCTCATGACAGTGGGGGTAGCTGTCATTCTTCAGTGTCTCAGATAAGGATGAAGTGGGTGAAAAACCTTTGGGCCAACAGATATTGTCTCTGAGCCTCTTTCCAATAAGAAACCTACCTGTAGAGACGTACTGGGGTGGTCTCTTCAGCACAATGATCTATCTTTCAACAAGAAAAAAAGGAACAGTCATTAATGCACATAAAGTGAGACAAAATGGGGCATTCCAGGAATATGCAGACAGATGAGCTATCAGAGACCATCTGCACAAAACCACTAAATCTGGAGAAGATGAAGAGGAATAAATTCTGTGTCTACCAGTGATCATGCTGCCCAGTGGACATTTATTCACAGTCCATTCTATCATCTGATTCCATAAAGTGTTATCTTGTGTCACTGCTGATATATCCACAGCTGATATATTGACAGTAATTCTGGTCACAGGCCCAATGTCTTCTCTCTGAACCAGCTACACATAAACTTGGACCAGGTCCTATAGATGCTCACTGACAACACTCCCCACACCCTCCCTCCTCTTTTCCTCTTTGCTCTCACATCCTCAGGCTTCACTGTCTCCCACTGGCTCTTCAGTCTGATCTCTGTATTTATATAAGTATTTTATTTTATGTAAAGATTATTTATTTATTTATTTGTTTGTTTATTTACAAGAACTGAGACAGGGAGAGAGAGAACACAAGCAGGGAGAGTGGGAGATGGAAGAGGAGACTTCCTTCTGAGCAGTGAACCCCTGAAGTGGGTATGGATCCCAGGACTTTGGGATCCCGACCTGAGACAAACCTGGAGTTGGAATCAAAACCTAATGTGCCCTTCTGGAGCACCCAAGTCTCTCTCTTTAATAGAAAAATAGGGGTGACTGTGTGCTCAGTGGGTTAAGCCTTTGTCTTCCGTTCAGTTTATGATATCAGGGTTCTGGGATCAAGCCCAGCATCAGGTTTTCTGCTCGACAGGGAGACTGCATCCACCTCTCTCTCTGCCTGCCTCTCTACCTATTTGTGATCTCTTCTCTCTCTCTCTGGCAAATAAATAAATAAAATCTTTACAAAAATATATAAAAATAATGTTATTACATTTCCAGATAAGGATATATTCATCTATATTTAGGTATTTGCACATGTGACCTATTGTTTCATACCGACTTCATAATTAACTGATGTCCCAATCCATGGGGAGTCTTGGAGGTATCCACAGACAAGGATCACATGTGTATTTTTAGATATATCATTATTTCCTTTATGCTCCTGATTCTCATTCCTAAGAACTCCCTGGAGAGTAATTCCACCACAGAAATGTATTTCTACAACTCATGAATTCCCAAGCTCTAGTTGTTTTATACACAGGCACAAAACCATCAGCAATATATTGTTCTTACACCCTGATAGATACCTGGGGATACAGAGAACTATGGGTCTGGCTTGGATGTGGGAGCATAAAGGTGGGATGTGTGTTCCCCCCACCACCCAGTGTTTCCAGACACCCAAAAACCCCACAGTTGTAGATCTTGTGTCTGCATAGATAAACTTCAACATATTTCTTGTCACTCAACAAGACAAGGATACCTAATTCAGTGAATTGTTAATAGGTTTGCTATCACATGAGTCCTTCTGGCCTAAGTAAATCCTATTCTGGTAAAAATCTAGGAGATATTTACCTGTAAATGAATGATCAGAACCCTAGTGTTTTATAAAAAGAATCTCCATGGGGAAATATCCTTCAGGGTGTTTCAAAGTCAAAAGAGAGACAGAATTTACATAGCCTCCTATTTGGTCACACACACACACACACACACACACACACACACACACACACACATACCTCTTCTCCCTCGGAGTGAAAAGTGTGTCTGGGACTCCTCTGCAGTCTCCAGGTTCTCGGTTCTTCCAGAGGATAGGGGCATTCTCTGTTCAACCAGCCATTTTCATTGTTCCAATCTCCAGAATTCAAAATCCTCTTCATCAGGAAACATGGACACATCATGTGAAACTTGGGTCCTGTCATCATGGCAGCCAGGATGGAGTCTGAGCACCAGCTCTCCTGGGATGACACTGATGTTAACGAATCTTTGCAGAAGTCTCTGTCTCCATGGGTAGTTCGTCCCCTGACAATCTGTGGGTTCCAGTCAGTGCTTGAAAGTGACCAGTACATTGATTCTGGGACAGAAGCCTCAGTGTTGCTCCTCTAGAGCTCAAGGCCCATGGGGGACATGAGACACTCTCCCTGTGCTCTCATGCCTGGGCTTTCTATCTCTCAGTCACCCAGTGACATCTCCAGCCAGGTTGCACTCTACTGAAATGTTCTGTATCTCAACCCAGGGACACAGAACCTGTCATCACATGGTCACCATCTGAATTATTGCCATAACACTTCCACTCAGATTTGGGGTGTTTGACAGAAACATCTGGCTCCAGTTGGCCTTATGTGGTAAAACTCATTCCTGTAGTCATGGATGAATGAATAGTGGGTCTATCCTGAACATCCTGGAACCAGCTGAAGGGCCTAGAGCTGTGTCTACCCCAGAGAGTGGTCTGACCCCAAATCCCTCTGTCCTAGAAGCTATGTCTTTGTTTGGTAATTTTGTCAGAAAGATGGTTCTGAGTTCATAGGAACAGGCTCCTCAAGGGGTTTCACTGGGCATTATGTTGGCCTTTCCTATGTGGGAGAGCAAACACATGGTACAAATAAAGGATTTTATAAAAAATGTATAAACACCTAATTCTCCTGAGAACATTTCTATCTTCTATCCATGTGTTTAACCACTCATTCAACCAACATTCTCTCTGCAATAAGCAGTGATCTGGGGAAAGTACACTACTGATAGTCCCTGCATCTTCCCAATGACATTGCCATTGAGTTTTAATCAATCTTACTGAATGGAATTATGCATAAAATAACACACATCCATTTTAAATACGAGGTTGACTCTGTGGTGACTCAAAATGAGTTCTTTCACTAGGTCCCTGTCAGAACACCTGCAGTTGTCATTTCTTTCCTAGAACTTTCATCAGGTTTGCCCTTTGTTCTCTGAGATCAGTGCCACCCATAGCCTCACATGGCAGGACTCCTGCAGACAACTGCCTGTGCTAGACGGACAGATCCTAGGAAGGAGTCACTGCCCCAGCTGTGTGTGAACTGTTGTTTCAAGAAGGTGAAAAGAGTGATAGGTGACAAAGATGTTCAATGTGTTTCCCTGTAGGAATATATGTGAGAGACTCGACCCACAACCTGGAGAGAATCATTCCCTGGCTCCTTAATTTTGTGGGATCCTCAGAGTATGGAGAGCTCTGCACAATAGGGAGAAGGCACATAGGAGGAAAGTGGAAGCCTCCTGTACAGAAGGGACCCTGTGTTCCTGGGGACCTGTCACTGCTCTGGACTAGATCCTGATCTAGAGAAGTAAGTTATAGGCAGCATTTCAATACTGACCCAGGGACAGAGAAGGGTGCCTTGGAAAAAGTCCCTCTGAACACTCCTAGTAGGGCATACCTTGAGTCCTGACTTAATGCGAGGTGACATGTAGGGACAGCAAGTCAAGCCCTAATTAAGGGAATGTGGACAAAACAGTGTGGGGGATGTGAAGATGGGTCTGATGGGCTCTGGTCACCTTGTCACTCAATGGTGTGCCTGTCTATGGACACCAGGGGGCAATCTGGTCTCATTTCTGAGGTTCAAGAGAGATAAGGGCTGGCACCAGCTACCAGGCATGGCCTGTGCCCTCTACTCAGGGCTCACTCCTCTATCCTCCCCACTTCCTGACCCCACACAGCTCCTCCCTTGCCCAGCCCCCTGACATGTTGAAGCAAGGAGGGATCAGACACAGAGCCAGGGAGTGATCAGGAACTGGGGTTTCATTTGCATAGATGGTCCCACCCTCTCTCAGAGGATGAAGAGGGGAAGGGACTGATGAGGGAAGGTCTGCTGAGTTGTGGGATCACAGACAGCAAGATCAGTGATGACTTCCACCATGGCCTGGCCCCATCTCTTCCTTACCATCCTTGCTCACTGCACGGGTGTGTGGTTGCAGGGACAAGGGAAGAGTCCCTGGGAGGATATGTGAGGTCCTGTTTCTCCTCCTGTATTCAGACCCCAATATCACCCTTTCTGTGTCTCTCCTGTTTGCAGGGTCCTGGGCCCAGTCTGTGCTGACACAGCCACCTTCTGTATCCGGGGCTCTGGGCCAGAAGGTCACCATCTCCTGCACTGGAAGCAGCTCCAACATCGGTGGTGGTACTATTGTGAACTGGTACCAACAGCTCCCAGGAACAGCACCCAGAATGATCATCTATGCTAATAACAATCGACCCTCAGGGGTCCCTGAGCGATTCTCTGGCTCCAAGTCTGGCAGCTCAGCCACCCTGACCATCACTGGGCTCCAAGCTGAGGATGAGGCTGAATATTATTGCCAGTCCTATGGCAGGAGTCTCAGTGCTCACACAGTGCCCCAGGACTATGAGGAAGTGAGACAAGAACCTACTATTCCTTCAGCGTTGGGTTTCACTTTGCAGCTCCCACTCTTTGACCAAGTCAGCTCTTTCCTTTGTTTGGCCTAAATTAAAGCTCTAGACCAATCTCAAGGAAGATCGCCTAAAAAATCATCCCCATTCTCATAAATTCAACCTCTCACGCCTGTCCTTGGCAGGAACACATTGTACAGTTTTCCCATATTTTGGAGAATTTTGTGGGTACCAGGGACAGTCTCCCTAGTAACAGAGTCTGCTGCTGAAGAAAACAAAGGCAGGAGAAATGTAGCTTAAATTAATCTCCTTACAGCTTGCAGCCCACTCATAGATACCTGACACATGCAGAATGTGACCTTCCTGAAGGAACTCATGGCTGCCTCAGTGCATTAGATTTTGGGTTTTATGAAAGATTAAAAGTAATCTTATCTTCACAGCAGCTAGGCCTTCGATTCCTGAAAGCCCTGCTTCCTAATCCCTCAGAGACTTAGGCTATTCCTAACCTCCACTAAATAAAACATATGTAATCAATCACTCCTTACAGTCTCAGTACAGATTTCTGCCCATGGGTCCTGTTCCCATGCTATAATAAAATTATCTTTTTTCAACATTAAATGTCTAAATAATTTCAGTTTCATTTGCTTTTAACTTCAAATAATGTTCGTGCCAAAGTGACCCATCTTGGGGAAGCCCATCCTTGACAAGTTCCTTCCCTCCTCTGAAACTTTCCAATATTATACATATTAAAAGTTGGAATAGAAGTTTTTTTGTTTGTTTGTTTTTTTGTTTTTTTTTTTTTTTTGAGCAGAAGCTCAATGTTTTATTTCAAGAAGGGAAGTCCTTAGTGCAGAACCATTGAGGACCAGATGGTGGACAGATGTGGAAGATAATAATCGACTGGGAGATGATCACTTCAAAATTGGACTGCTGAGCAGTGCATAGTTTGGGGGAGGGATTATAAAACAACAACAACAACAAAACACTAAGCTGGTGGCATTTTCATCCTAAATCTTAACTCTGGTTGTTTTACTCCCCATTCCAGAACTTTCACTGTCTTTTTCCTAACAAATAAGCTCAAACTCCTTGGCCAAATTTCGAAGTTTTTTTGTGCTGGCCTCACTGTTTTTCCTGCCTTACTTCATCTGTTCTATTTGCAAGATAGTTCAGCTAAATTAAATTATGGTCTCTCTTTCTTTTTTTTTTTTTTTCTTTTTTTTTTTTTTACTTTTATCAACTAACATTCGTTTTTATTAGTATTTATTTCTTTCATACAGACATAAACTGCTCATGTTTTTACCTTTTACAATAGAATACAAATGTTCATAAGAGAACATCCTGTTCTTATTTAACAAAATTTGAAACCACTATCTCTGTCCTCTCCTGGTATTTCCCAGTTTGTGTTTTTCTTTTTTTTTTTTTTTCAGCGTAACAGTATTCATTGTTTTTGCAAAACACCCAGTGCTACATGCAATCCGTGCCCTCTCCAATACCCACCACCTGGTTTACCCAACCTCCCACCCCCCGCCCCTTCAAAACCCTCAGATTGATTTTCAGAATCCATAGTCTCTCATGGTTCACCTCCCCTTCCAATTTCCCTCAACTCCCTTCTCCTCTCTAACTCCCCTTGTCCTCCATGCTATTTGTTTTGCTCCACAAATAATTGAAACCATATGATAACTGACTCTCTCTGCTTGACTTATTTCACTCAGCATAATCTCTTCCAGTCCCGTCCATGTTGCTACAAAAGTTGGGTATTCATCCTTTCTGATGGAGGCATAATACTCCATAGTGTATATGGACCACATCTTCCTTATCCATTTGTCTGTTGAAGGGCATCTTGGTTCTTTCCACAGTTTGGGGACCGTAGCCATTGCTTGCATAAACATTGGGGTAAAGATGGCCCTTCTTTTCACTACATCTGTATCTTTGGGGTAAATACCCAGTAGTGCAATGGCAGGGTCATAGAGCAGCTCTTTTTTTAATTTCTAGAGAAATCTCCACACTGTTCTCCAAAGTGGCTGCACCAACTTGCATTCCCACCAACAGTGTAAGAGGGTTCCCCTTTTTCCACATCCACTCCAACACATGTTGTTTCCTGTCTTGCTAATTTCAGCCATTCTAACTGGTGTAAGGTGATATCTAAATGTGGTTTTAATTTGGATCTCCCTGATGGCTAGGGATGATGAACATTTTTTCATGTGTCTGATAGCCATTTGTATGTCTTCATTGGAGAAGTGTCTGTTCATATCTTCTGCCCCATTTTTTTAAAGATTTTATTTAATTATTTGACAGAGAGAGATCACAAGTAGAGAGGCAGGCAGAGAGAGAGGGGGAAGCAGGCTCCCTGCTGAGCAGAGAGAACCAGATGCAGGGCTCGATCCCAGGACCCTGAGACCATGACCTGAGCAGAAGTCAGAGGCTTTAACCCACTGAGAAACCCAGGTGCCCCTTCTGCCCATTTTTTAAAATGATTGTCTGTTTTGCGTGTGTTGAGTTTGAGGAGTTCTTTATTGATCCTGGATATCAACCTTTTGTCTGTACTGTCATTTGCAAATATCTTCTCCCATTCTGTGGGTTGCCTCTCTGTTTTGTTGACTGGTTCCTTTGCTGTGCAGAAGCTTTTGATCTTGATGAAGTCCCAAAAGTTCGTTTATGCTTTTGCTTCCTTTGGCTTTGGAGACATATCTTGAAAGAAGTTCTTGTGGCTGATATGGAAGAGGTTACTGCCTATATTCTCCTCTAGAATTCTGATGGATTTCTGTCTCATGTTGAGGTCTTTTATCCATTTTGTGTTTATCTTTGTGTACAGTGTAAGAAAATGGTCGAGTTTCATTCTTCTACATATAGCTGTCCAGTTTTCCCAGCACCATTTATTGAAGAGATTGTCTTTTTTCCACTGTATATTTTTTCCTGTTTTGTTGAAGATTATTTGACCGTAGAGTTGAGGGTCCATATCTGGGCTCTCTACCCTATTCCACTGGTCTATGTGTCTGTTTTTATGCCGGTACCATGCTGTCTTGGTGATCACAACTTTGTAGTAAAGCTTGAAATCAGGTAACGTGATGCCCTTAGTTTTATTTTTCTTTTTCAACATTTCCTTAGTGATTCATGGTCTCTTTTGATTCCGTACAAATTTTTGGATTATTTGCTCTAGCTCTTTGAAAAATACTGGTGGAATTTTGATCAGAATGGCATTAAAAGTATAGATTGCT